GATGGACTTAATGAGAGTCTCAAAACAAAGCGATGGATCTTCTTTTTCTCCTCTCATGATTCTAATTGCTTTTGCCCACTGTTTCTTCTCATTATCTGAAGTTTGGATAATATTTCTGAACTTGTAAGGGAATGGTAGATTTCTATTGATATGCGTTTTAAACTTGGATCACTAAACTGACCAATTTTGTAAGAAGCTATGGTCTTCCTGTCTCTTGTGTAACAGGAGAAAAAGTAAAAAAAAAAAAAAAAGAACTGCTCAAAGAATCAAGGATACCGCAGCACAAAATGATATTACTATCCTTAGTAAGGCTGGTAACTTGAAATGGCTGAGCAAATATAAATGTACTTTTCAAATAGACAGTTATTTAAAGTTACAATTGCCAAAATATCTTAGGGAGGTATTTATGCAAGTGAGATTTGAACAGCTTGACACAATAGTCAGATATTTATACCCTATAATGGATGTCTTTGCATTTGTGGAGCGGCAGAGGTAGAAGACCTGACTCATATCCTATTTGACTGTTGCTTGTATATAATAGGGTGAGAGATGGGTACATTGGCCCATATACTAAACGAATGACCCATTGGGAACCTCATATTAAAACAACTTACCTTATGTGGAGCCAGAATTTGAAAACAACATTTAATACGGCACAGTACCTGAGCAAAATGGTTTGGTTGGGATCAATATTGGGATTGATTGGGGTAGATTGTAGGGATGATACTGAAATATAATTTTATTTTATTTTATTTTATTTACCTATATATTAAATTATTGTATTTTATTCCAACTTCATTTTAAATTGTATTTTATTCCAATCTCTTTTTAAATTGTTTTTATCAGATTTTAGCAATAATTTGTGTTTGAAACTCTGCACTTTGATATGGCCTATGGGCTAATTAATAAACTATATATGTATGTGTGGTAAACACGAATTTGCATAATGATATGATGTAAAAAAAGGTATCATGCCAAAACTTTTCAAGATATTATTATATATAGAAATTAGCCCAGATAATTTTATATGATGTATAAGCAAGCAGCAATTCTAATACTTTGTATATTAAACAGAAAGATGCTTTTTAATGAATTAAAAACACCTGTTCCATTTCATTCAAGTCATACAGTTAAAAACAAAAAAACAGAACCATCTTCATTTCAGCTCACTTCAATGGAAACAAGTGGAATCACAAATGGCAAGAGGTTCCCATAAATGATCTGACCCAGTAAATATCTCATACGCTCTTGTGCTGTCCAAAAAAGCTAGCCATAAGGCAGCCAAGAGACAATAAAAGGAACTAGCCAGAGACCCAGATGGTACAGTTGTAATATAAACTCTGAAACTTGGCATTTATATCTTGCAGCTGCTATGCCCACCTCATTTGTAGCCATAAATGCTAGTTCTTATGCTAGATTGTCTAGATCAGGTCAAATGGAGCACATTTTTCACCCAACTAGTGGAAGCTAATATAGCCAAATTAAATGGCAAGTGACAAATGCATTGTATGTTCATTGCCGGAAACCATTAACATTATATAATCTAGAGAGTTTGTTTTTAGCAGTTTTTAGAATAGGAAAGCTACTTTCCACTCAAAATTTTATATTAAAATAGAATTTGAAAAATATTACTTTATGTAATTATTGTAGCAGTATAGTTTTTAAAAATGATTTATAATTGGACCCCCAAAACAACTCAATTAAAATTAATCATGATATTCTTATTGTTATAAGAAAAAAAACCCAGCACTGTCATTAATCTGTTGTAATTACTGTAAAGTGAAATAGGCATGAAAACATTTAAAAAGTAGTGAATTAAAGTATGATAGTGCTATAGCCTTCACAAATTCAGTCTTCAAATTTTGGATTATACCACTACATCTGATGTAAAAACCTGATAGTAGGCAGAAATGGACAAGTCCAATAGTTTTTTATAAACAGAAAAATTAGTAATTGCTAGTAAATTCACATTTCCTTTCATGTTTCTTTTCAAATATCTGACGTATCTATCTATCTCTCTATCTATCCATCCATCCATCCATTTTTGTGTTTAAATCATGGTTATATTTGAACAAAATATTAATTAAAATATAGATAAACCTATCATTTGATGAGAGTCTGCACACTTTTGATGTTACGTAGTTTGATAATGAAACATCTGCAAGAAAACAACCAAACTCAGAGAGCACCAAAGATTCCACAATTCAGCCCTGAACTACAAATATTCTCTTCTATAGAGATTATATTTTTAGATTAGTATCAGAACTAATAGTTATCATAATGACAGATTTTCCACTGTTTTTATTTAAGAGTGTAGGTGTTTCATAAAGTCATTCATGCATGTTAATTCGACTAATATTTAATCAATCAAGATATTTAATCAATCAAAAGGAGCGTGAATGGTGCAGCAGACTAATGCTACTGTTAAAAGTAGTATTTAGCTTCCAGCTGCCTGCAATTACTGCGAGTTCAATTCTCACCAGGCTCAAGGTTGACTCAGCCTTCCATCCTTTCTAAGGTAGGTAAAATGAGGACCCGGTTTGTGGGGGCAATAAGCTGACTTTGTATAAAATATACAGTAGTATGAAGGCTATTGCTTAACGCATTGTAAGCCACCCTGAGTCTCAGGAGAAGGGTGGCATATAAATCAAAATTTTAAAATTTTTTAAAAAATTAAAAAATTAAAAAAAAATCAAAATATTCAATCTCATATAGATATTCACTGTAACTATTCCATGTCATTCTATGATGCAGAAAATCTCTGGCATCTCTTTCAGGACACAAATAGAGAAAGGGATTATAATTTCTAAATTTCTGACAGCCCTCAAAACATGATTTTGTCAACGAGTTTAGCAATCCCTTGGCAGCGCAGCTGACTAAGTGCTGTTAAAGTAGCACCAGCTGCCTGCAATTACTGCAAGTTCAAATCTCACCAGGCTCAAGGTTGACTCAGCCTTCCATCCTTTCGAGGTAGGTAAAATGAGGACCCGGATTGTGGGGGCAATAAGCTGGCTTTGTATAAAAAAGAACACCGCTTGGGGGGGCCGAAAGCCCTACTAAGCAGGTATATACAAAAGTATGAAGGCTATTGCTTAACGTATTGTAAGCCGCCCTGAGTCTCCAGAGAAGGGCAGCATATAAATCGAATAAATAAATAAATAAATAAATAAAATCCTACAATACAGTGATTGTATGATGGTTAACTGACACACAGTCTACATGCTTCCCACCATTTTATACATGTATGTATTTATTTTTATATTGTTTTCACATTAATTTGTGGGTTTTTTTGGTTTTAATCTATTTTGGCTTTCAATGTATTATAGAAGTGAGATGGGCAGCTAAACAAATATGACCATAAATATTTAAAAAAACTGTGCACTATTTGAATAATGCAAATGATTAATATATCCAGAATATTTGCATTAAGCTTTTCTAGTCTGCCTTTTCAAAAGGAATTTTAACTATATTTATATATTGTTATTAACTATGTGATTAGTTCAGTTTTGACTTATGCATGCCAGTAATTGTGATTTGCAATTCATTGTTTATGGTTAGTGGTGTGTGTGAACTGGTTCTCTATGATTAAAATTATAGTTTATCTCCTCTATCTATTTTATTCATGTTTTCTTCAATATCATTCTTTTTCATAAGGAGTTTGTTTCAAAACTTCACTGACCTATCAAGTTCCCTAAGAATTGTCTAGTTCAATTCTTTGTTTCAATCTGTGTTTATGAATATGTGTACACATATACATGCATATACATATACACACATTATCCTGTCTTTTTTATCTGTCTTTCATATACAAACAATATAAATAAAATAAAATAAGATGAATAAATAAAATGTAGTATTTCTGTCATCAAATATTAATAAAATAAAAGAATAAAGAAAATTTCCACCATTGTAATTATTAAATGAATCATTGAGGTAAATCATATTGTATGTCATAGATTGTTACTCATGATCAGCAGTCCGAACCTTTAAAACAGTTATCTAATTTAGGAATTCCTTCTTAGGAATATAACAAAACGAGGTTCAGATAATATGATCAATTGGAGAGTCAAGTAAATGCTGTAATGTTGGAGAAATCTATAGTGCAGAAAATAGATTTTCTTTGTTCAAGCATGCTTGAATTTCTCAATGCTGCTTCATGAAAAATATTGAACTGCACTATTTTTTCCTGTTTTGCTGCTTTGACTCTTCTTTTTGACAGCTTAGATACTATTACCATAAATATTTCTTTCTTGTGTGAAAAAAGGCCACATTTCCAGATACTGATACGTTGCCTGTAGGAAGGAAAGACAAATAAGTGTTTTAAAGCAAAGCATAGCCATCTGCTATGTTAATGCATGATTGGTTAAAATAACATGGCAGCAAACAACCATATGGTTATTTTACTTTACTTTTGACCACTGGCAGATCCTCAGTGCTCTGCAAAAAAACTTCATAAACAATATAAACACCAACACCTGAACAAGCAGGTTATTAGCAATATTTTTACTATACATTTAAAAGTTTAATATTTTAAAATTAAAAGATTTATTAGAAATATAATTTTTAGACTTACGAAATTTAATATTTTTTTCTATTAAAGGATTTCCAATTTGAAAAAAAAAAAGGTATATCCAAAAGAAAATGAATCTTTGACTGATTCAGTATTTGCTAACAGTTAAGGGAAGGCACAAGCAATAATTTCTGGTTCCAGTAGCTTGGTTTTTGTTTGCTAAAGGTGAGTGTTTCCCATGAATGATCTGAGAATAGGTACCAATCTATAAAGTTTATAACTTGAGGTAAAAATGAGGTAGGATTATTATTATATTGATAAGCGGTAATAGCTTTTACAAGTGGATTTGTTATGAGCTTTCAATCTCTGACAACATTGCTCCTTTACATTTAAATATTGTTGGATATTATTTCAACAGTGTACACATTTTTAAGAAAAGCACATTGTTATTACCGGAATGATAAATAGGAAATATACTTAAGAGTACAGCTTTAAAAGCTAAATTAGGCAAAAAAAGAAATGTTTTATTTCATGTATATATATTATTTCTCATAATTGGCTTTCAGGTTGTTGTTTTTTTAAAAGGAGGAAAAGTTTATGTTAGATTTCATAAGAAAGAAATAAGCTCATGACACACATTAAGAGCTCTTGCAGGGAGAATCTTCAATGGCCCTCCTCGGAATGGACTGTTCCTGCTTTAGAATGGTCAAGATATGGTTTATTGTTTCATGGATGAATTAATCTTATCTGCTATATTCCCAAACTGCTTTTTATGCTTCTGAAGGAGTTTATGAAAACTTCATCTCCTGTTTTAAATGAAACAAACATTGGTCATTATGTTCAAACATGGCAACTGCTTTTTTTTAAAAAAAATATGGACATTAATAATGTTTAGAAGAAACTGCAATAAAAAAAGTTTTTAAATCATTTATCAGCAAATAGTAGGGTGAAATCATTATGTTTTTATCATTAACATTTTATTCAAACTATTTTTATGATCCCTAGACCTGGCATTTCCCTGGACATGTTTTGTGGCATTATATATTAAAGATAATACATAAAACAACTAAATACTGCTAAAAGAACTAACCCCAAAAGTTCCATCAACAAAAAAAAAAATAACAATTTATCCACTGACTGTCACCAGGCAACGTCATTACTGGCTCATCAACTCAGGTTATTTAAAGCAGATGGCAGAGCAATGCTTCTTTGCCACTAAGGCCTGTTAATTTCAGTCACCTCCCATAAAAAATTAAAATTGGCCCCATGTCATTCAAACATGACAGTACTTCGGATTTCTCCTCCTTTATATTCTTTAGCCTTGAGGCAGATATGACAGGTGCCTTATTAAATTCCAAAAATAAACTGTAGCACAAAAAGGCAGTGCATTCCAATGAGACAGCCGGCTTGTTAAGATGCAAAATGCATAAGAATATTTCACTTTATTTTTAGCTATCAATTTCACCATTTTAAACTGTCATTTTGGAATAAATAGAAATATATATTTTGGAGTTAAAAATCTGTATATCATATATAATAGTTTTAAAACATATACAATAACTCTTTACTTTGTGAAAATGCTCAGAATGCTTCCATATGATTTGGAACATTCAACCAATTTTCATTTTATTCTGAATAAAATATTTGCTAAAGTAACAATTTCTTCAGATTTCAATGTAATCAATACAATTCATAAGCATTGAGGGATTTACAGTATGTCACAGAAGTGAGTACACCCCTTCACATTTTGTAAATATTTAAGTATATCTTTTCATGTGACAACACTGAACAAATGACACTTGGCTACAATGTAAAATAGTGAGTATACAGCTTGTATAACAGTGTAAATGTGCTGTCCCCTCAAAATAACGCAACACACAGCCATTAATGTCTAAACTGCTGGCAATAAAAGTGAATACATCCCTAAGTGATAATGTCCAAATGGGGCTCAAGTAGCCATTTTCCTCCCTGGTGTCATGTGACGGTGTTAGTGTTACAAGGTCTCAGGTGTGAAGGGGGAGCAGGTGTATTAAATGTGATGTTATCACTCTTCTCTCATACTGGTCACTGGAAGTTCAACATGGCACCTCATGGAAATGAACTCTCTGAGGATCTGATAAAACAAATTACTCTACATAAAGATGGCCTAGGCCAGTGGTCGGCAAACTCATTAGTCAACAGAGCCAAATATCAACAGTACAATGATTGAAATTTCTTTTGAGAGCCAAATTTTTTAAACTTAAACTATATAGGTAGGTACATTGTTATTAACTTAATTAGTTCTTTTTAACTACAATTAAAAAGTAGGGGGAGGGGGATGCAACACGCGGAGGGCCAAGTCTGCTCCCGTTCACCTCCCCACACTTGTTTACCCATCCCAGAGAGCTTGGGCTATGCCTCCCTCCGACCCACCCACCTTCCTTGCTGGCGTCACTCCTGAGTGAACTCTTCTATCCTCGGCTGTTGCAAAGAAGCGGCAGCTCTGGGTGCGCCACACCCACTTTGTTTTCTTTGAGAACTGCTTTGCACCTTGTTTGCAAAGCAGCTCTCAAAGAGAAAGAAGTGGGCATGGCTCACCCAGAGCTGCCTCTTCTTTGCAACAGCCGAGGACTTCTTCCGCCTGGAGCTCCAAGCTGCGGGGGGGGGGGGCTGCAACGCCGGCAGCTTCAGTGGGCTCCTTCCCTCAGTGGTTTGTTTTCTTTTACCTAATTAAAGGCTGCTCCGTACCTTTTGATCTTTCTACCCAGCCACTGGTGCACAGCGCCGAAAAGACCTCCAGTCACTGCCGCCATCTTCGCGCATGCACAGCTTTCTTCTCACCGGCTGAAGGACTTTTCAGCACTTTGTGGACTTTTTGGTATTTTGTGGAAGAGCCACACTCAAGGGGCCAAAGAGCCGCATGTGGCTCACGAGCCGTGGTTTGCCGACCACTGGCCTAGGCTATAAGAAGATTGCCAAGACCCTGAAACTGAGCTGCAGCATGGTGGCCAAGACCATACAGTGGTTTAAGAGGACAGGTTCCACTCAGAACAGGCCTCGCCATGATCGACCAAAGAACTTGAGTGCCCATGCTCAGCGTCATATCCAGAGGTTGGATTTGGGAAATAGACCTATGAGTGCTGTCAGAGTTGCTGCAGAGGTTGAAGGGATGGGAGGTCAGACTGTCAGTGCTCAGACCGTACGCCGCACCAAATTGGTCTGCAGGGCTGTTGTCCCAGAAGGAAGCCTCTTCTAAAGATGATGCACAAGAAAGCCCGCAAACGGTTTGTTGCAGACAAGCAGACTTAGGATATGGATTCCTGGAACCATGTCCTATGGCCCAATGAGACCAAGATAAACTTATTTGGTTCAGATGGTGTCAAGTGTGTGTGGCGGCAACCAGGTGAAGAGTATAAAGACAAGTGTTCTTGCCTACAGTCAATGGTGGTGGGAATGTTATGGTCTGGGGCTGCATTAGTGCTGCTGGCACTGGGGAGCTACAGTTCATTGAAGGAACCATGAATGCCAACATAGACTGTGACATACTGAAGCAGAGCATGATCCCCTCCCTTCAGAGACTGGGCTGCAGGAAAGTATTCCAATATGATAACGACTCCAAACACACCTCAAAAATGACCACTGCCTTACTAAAGAAGCTGAGGGTAAAGGTGATGGACTGCCAAGCATGTCTCCAGACCTAAACCCTATTGAGCATCTGTGGGAAATCCTGAAATGGAAGGTGGAGGTGCGCAAGGTCTCTAACAGCCACCAGCTCCGTGACATCATAGAGGAGTGGAAGAGGACTCCAGTGGCAACCTGTGAAGCTCTGGTGAACTCTATACCAAAGAGGGTTAAGGCAGTGCTGAAAAATAATGCTGCCACACAAAATATTGGCACTTTTGGGCCCAGTTGGACATTATCACTTAGGGGTCTACTCACTTGCCAACAATTTAGACATTAATGGCTGTATGTTGTGTTATTTTGAGCAGATAGCATATTTACACTGTTATACAAGCTGTATACTCACTACTTTACATTGTAGTCAAGTGTCTTTTTTTTCAGTGTTGTCACATGAAAAGATATACTTAAATAGTTACAAAATGTGAGGGGGTGTACTCACATCAGTGACATACTGTATAAACACTGACTGATCATATTTAGAACTTGGTTAATTACCACCCTCTTCCATTACCATTTTTATGTTAGTAAGTCATGATATTATCGTGTAATCTGAGATCAACAAATTAAAGCAAAGGGCTTAATTTAGGTTGATATCATTAATAAAATCCAGAATTTTTCAAGTTCTGATTATCTTGGGAATTCCTTTCTTGATATATTATTTGGTTTTGTAATTCCTTGCTTTGGAATTGCCATGGAATTTCCTTTGAGGATTTTTTTTTTTTGGTTAGTTAGTTTAATATATGTGCGTGTGCATGCTCTAGACAGGATGCTATCCAATGAGTAGGTATTAGTGCAATATTTTCTCTTAAAAGATACTCCGTTTTTAGCCTCACATTCTTTAATCTTAAAAAGAAAAGAAAAAAGAACCCTATGAAAATGTAAAAAATACAATGTAAAAAAAACCCTTTTCTGAAAAAATAACACAAAGCGACTGATGAAAACAATATTCACCAGCAGTGTTGGCTTACTTATCTTCCTTGCTACCATCCCTAGAAAAACAGGTCTTCAAAGCTTTCTGAGCAATTAGGGCCAGCCAAACCTTGGGTGGGATGATGTACCAGAAGACAGGTACAACTATGGAGAAAGCATGTGTTCTGAATATCACTAGATGATTGAAGAAAAGATTTAGTATCTTCAGATTGATATATATGTGATTATTTGTGAGATGGGCTAATCTTTTCCCATAGAAAAGGAAGAATTCAATGAAAGATCCAAAAGGGAGGATGCTTATTTTTAATGTCTGTTGTATTCTGGCACAATTTAATATGCATTAAAAAATTTGAGAATAATGTTCAGTAATCTTTTTATCTTTGTACTGCAGATATATAAAAAACACCACTATATATGATTTGCACTCTTGTGTTTTGCTGTTAAGTGGAAGAAACATTAAAAAAACTTCAGAATATTACAATTTCTGTTACATATTACTAGTCAGAAATGAGAAATTAAGGATAATTGTTTATAGTTTTTGAAACAATGCTCTGCACTTAAGCATTAATTCTGTTAGTATTTTTTAAAATAAATTGTAGTACACTATTAGGTAGCTGATGAAATCTAGATAGATGATGGATGGATTGATGCATGCATGCATGCATACATGGTGGAGGGAGGGAGGTGGAATGGAATGGATAGATAAGAGATAGATTTATTTTTTATTTTTTATTTTGTATAAATGAATCAGGGCAGCAAACATACCTAATATTCCTTCACCTTATTTTCCTCACAAACACAATCCCATGAGGTGAATTGTGCTGAGAAAGAGCGATTGGTTCAAGATCACACAGATGTTTTCATGGTTAAGGCAGGATGAGAACTTAACAGTTTTTTGGTTTCTAGTCTGGTACCTTAACCACAAGATTCAACTGGTTACACACTATTACACACAAGATGCTGGCAGTGAATGAACTCATAATTGATTTAGAAACACATTTCACATCTTTCATTCTAGGTCTCTTCGGTAAATTATTTTGTACTCCTAAAATGACCCACAAAGCACTTTAATTAATATGTAAGACTGACTGATAATATATGGCTAAACAATATCAAAAAATTGAGAAGAATGGATAAAGGGGAAAAAATTGAGAAGAATAAGAATTAAAATTGGTTTAACATAACAGGTTTTAAATGAGCAATGCTATTTAAATGGCTTGGAAAAGAATGGGAAAGAAAAGGTTTTGACACCATTAAAACTCAAGCAAGTTTTAAATTAGAATTCATTAATTCTAATGAGAAAACGAGAGAATAAAAGTCACAAATGAATTAGTTACCTCCTTAATGCTAACAAAAGTGAACACTATGCAGAAGGTTTATGGTACAGTCTTCCATTCTTTTTGGGTATGAGTAAGGATGACTCACACATAAAGTGCCAGTATAGCCAACATTATGGTATTGCACAGAGAGACATTGAAAAAAAATGAAGAAACTACATATTAAGAACTTGTTCCTCTATGTTCACTTTCCTCTTAAGAGATGTTCTCCATACATACAGTCACAGAAAAAGATACAAAATGCCTATGTTGAGTCCCACTTGCACTCAAAATTTTTAAGGGTAGATCAAGACAACAATTTATTTTACAGAAAAGCATTCTGCAACAATTTCTGGTCAATTCCTTCAAGAACACCACAGCTTATAATAAATGGGAATTTAAAATAAGCTAAAAGAAAGTACTAAATGGAAATAGTTATTTCAGTAATAACAGCATATTAATAGTAAGAAATTTAAAAATAAAAACACAGAAGGAACAAGTGCAGTATAATCTGGTGTGTTATGGCACACAATCTCTTTTTCATTTAAACAATTTATCAAGACAAGCATCCAAATCAGAATATAAATTGTTGTGCTTTCTTTCGTTAGAGAAAAAAAAGGTGCCTGATGAACAGCAACTAACAATATTTGAAGCTTTTCAGAAACCCAACTCTGTTGGTTTCACATACAACTGAGCTAAATCCTGCTTTACTTTTCAATATCAACCTGATTGCTAAGGTCCCATAGCAGTGAGGTTCATTTCATAATCATAGCTCATAGGAAGGCTTTGAATGCTAATTTAGATTTCACCTCCAACACACATGGGGCACTGAATAACGCTGCATGATTATTAGTGAAGAAGCCACTTTGGTGTAGCAGTTAAAGTATAAGGCTAGAAATTGGGAGACCATGAGGTGTAGTCCCTCCTTAAGCACAAAGACAACTGGATGACATTGAACTAGTCATTTTCTCTCAATCAAGGAAGGAGGCAAACCACTTCTATAATTCCTTGCCAATAAAATAAAATCAAGGATTTGTACCTTCTCATCTCCCCACAATTTTCCTATATCCCCACATTTTTAAAAACAGTGTCAGGAATTTAAACAAATACAAATAAGCAAATGCATAAAAGAGGAAGACTCTAAAACAATTACCTTATGAACTAGTTTTTGCTTCTCAATTATTGGTCTCCTACTGATACAAATTTGTCAGAGACCAGGGTGGGCAGATGTATCCTCAATGATTAATAGCTCCCTCCTTTAACTCTCTATTTAATAATCCTATTTAATATACTCATGTTGTTTCTGAAATTGTATTATATGTTATGCTGATCTAGCTACTGGAATGTGATTCCATTAAATTTTGGCCTAGTAAAATAATTTTAATAAGGTATTGTTCATACACCTCTATTTTAAAATATAAATGCTGAATTTTCAGTCATATATTCAGTATTGATTTTAGGTCATGTAGAATTTTAGATAATATTTAATTTTCAAATTACTCTCTTTATATTGGTTGTTACTATATAGCATATCTATAGTATCCTTCAAACTATGTTTAAAGTGTCTTCCTATACAGAGAACAGAGATTGAAAAAGATTGGAAAAATGGCTATATAAATATCAGTTTAGCACTGAAAGAGGAAGGAAAGAAAAAAAAGTCTCCACACTGGGTCTGTTTATCATAAGAGAAGAAAGAAAAGCTCTGCCAGGGTTTCAATTTTCTTTTATTATACCCTATAACAATGAAGTAAAATTTCAATGGTTCTTATGGCATTTATTTCCTAGCTTGACCTATCATAAAAGACTGACATTTTCAACTTTGTATGCCATCTCTCAATCTCTAGCTCTAAATTTAAATGATGAAAAAATAAAGAAAATTGCAGGTTCAGTATGGATATCTGTTCCTACAGAGGCTTATAAAATGGTGTACAGGTACTGTAGTTCTCAAGTTATGACTGTTCAGCAAACCATTAAAAGTTACAACAGTGCTGAATTAAGGGGCTTAAAACTAATCCTCAAAGTTCCAGATGTTGTGAACCCCCATGGTAATGTGAACAAAATTCAGGCACTTTGCAACCAGTTCAAACTTATGATGGGTTGCAGCATCCCATGGTCATAAGATCACCATTTGAGATCTTTCCTTCCAGTTTCCCACCAGCAAAGTCAACAGGGAAGCTAGCAGGGAAGGTTACAAATCGTTTGGGTAAGTCTTACTCATTATCCAGCCTTTATTTGCTTACATACACTATGTCTCCTTTCCCTTTTTGCTGCATGCGCCCTACACCTTATTTCCTGGCCTCCCTGCTCCACACATACATGCACACACTCACAGTACCCTCCTTCCTGGGCTACCTTCTCTTATATACATGCACTCCATGTTCTCTTTCCTTAGGCTGCCTGAGTTGCACACAAGCACACACCCACAAGTGGCCTTCTTCACCTGCTTCCTTATACTTGCATACATGCACATGCTGTATCCCTTTTATGCAGCTTCTCTGAGCTCACACACATACACCACTCTTTTTCTCTAGCCTTCCTGTACTCATAGACATGCACACACTGACGAACCTTCCTTCCTGAGGCTCCATGTGTTGCACACAAATATCCCATGACCGTATTTCCCATCCTTCCTGAGCTCACACCATTCCTATTGCATCACAGCACCCCTCCCCTGACTCATTACAACAACCCAACAATCCAAATTGCCATCACTAAGTCATACAGTCTTGTCATATTATGTTTAGTAATGGCAATCTGGATCCCAAATGCAGTTGTGATTTGAAAAATTCCTGTATGGTAACTATGTAAGATTTAGCATTCTGCTTTAAGATCGTTCTGTCCATGCTAAACTATCAGGTAACACAAAATATGGATTATAATAACAATCATACCCTAGTAGTAAGAAAATCTAACATCAACATGGTGCAGGATATCAGAACTATTCATATCAGGGCGATTTTCATTTGTAGCTCAGACTTACATGAGA